AGCCATAAAAAGAATGAAATTTTACCATTTGAAATAGCATGGATGGATTTAGAAAGTATGATGCTAAGTCAAATAGGTCAGAGAAAGACAAACACCATATGATTTAACACAGATGTGGAATTTAAGAAACAAATGAACAACAACAACAAAAGACAAAGTGAAAAACAGACTCTTACCTATTAGAGAGCTGCATGTTACCAGAGGAGAGGTGGGTGCATGGGGGGGTGGGTAAGAGAGGTTAAAAGTACACTTACCATGCATGGTAAGCACTAAGTAAGGTATAGAATTGTTGAATCACTATATTACACACATGAAAATAATATAATACTGTATGTTAATTTAAAAAATACTGGAGATTGGGAGGTAGGTGACAGTATAAGCAAAGTTGGCCATAAACTGGTAATTTTTAAAGCTGGGTAATGGGTACATGAGGGTTCGTTATAAGATTCTATTTATTTTTCTATGGAATTTTTAGTAATAATTTTTTTAACAAAGATCATTCAAAGAAAAAGAAAAGGATGCAGGGAGGGGGAGGGTTTCATAGAAGGAACTAAAACTTTTTGAGGACCTATGTGTCAAGTTTTATGCTGGCATTTTACATGTTAACGAATTTAGTTTTCACAGCAAGCACTGCTACAATTTGGAGTATTTAAAAAATCTGAAGATGTAGAAAGGAGACAAAAAAAGCATAATCTGACCTCTCCAAGACATCTAAGTTTCCTTTAAAACATCTTGCCAAGCACTTTTAAAAACTGAATTGAGATCATACTATATATACAATTTTGCAATCTATTTTTCAATTTTATTATAGTGTAATAAGCACTTCTCCGTGTCATTAGAAATTCTTCAGTATATATTTAGCATATAATGTAAAAAGGTCGTGTTGAGTACTATCGTATACTTGGCAGATTACTATATTTTTCAATATTTGGGTGGGTGGTTTGAAACATCTTTTTATAAATACTCTTGAGATACACATTTTTATGCATAAATATTTTTCTTTATGTTTCCTTTTTTTTACCAGAGCTTATTGCTTGAAGTGGAATTACTGGGTAAAGGGTGTGGGCATTTTGGATACATCTTGCCAAGTTATCCTTTCAGAGAGGGCATACCAATTTCTATCCATGCTAGCCATGTGAACATTATGGCCCACTCTTTGTCCCTTTGTCAATTTATTTTAGCTTTTCTAGGGATCTAATTAGCTTAATGAATCTGGCAGGATGAGGATTTGTATTACCGTATAAGAAACTAAGGTTCAGAGAAGAGGATATGCCACAGGTCTCACTGGTGCCATGATGTAGAAGCCATACCAGTGACCTTTTCAAGATCCCCCTCTTCTTCCTTCCCTTGCTAAATCTCTAGGAGACAATTTATTGAACAAAAGCAAATAAAAAGCAGAGGTCTGGAATATCTAGTGACAATTTAACCTAGAGCTATTTAGGTTTCTCCTCAACCTAATACCTATCTACCAAGGTGTGACAAGAAAACTAGCCAAGTTTTAAGAATTCAGGTTTCAGCACTGGGTGGCTCAGTCAATTAAGCATCCAACTTCAACTCAAGTCATGATCTTGCTGTTTGTGGGTTTGAGCCCTGCGCCAGGCTCTGCAGACAGCTCAGAGCCTGGAGCCTGCTTCAGATCTTGTGTCTCTCTGTCCCTTACCAGCTCGTGCTGTGTCTCTCTTTCTCTCTCAAAAATAAACAAACGTTAAATTTTTTTTTTAAAAAAAGAATTCAGGTATTGTCTTCCCTCTCCCTTCTGCTAATTTCCATTAGTGTTCTCTCTGCTACAAATGCCTTTAATAATTAGTTTATGTGAAGCCAAACTACAGAAGATTTACTCTATCACATGAAAAAGATCTTGGTCAGAATTTGATAGGGCTGATTTGGTAAACATCACTTATTCACAAAATATTCCTTGGGTACCTGCCATCATCTAAGTGCTATATTAGGACGCGGATAAGAGAGACGAAGATGTGGTTTCCACTAGAGGACTTCACAGTTTAACAAAATCCACTTAAGTGCTCCTCTGAAATCTCTCCTCTCCTTTATTTCTTTTGCCACCCTAAATATTTGATCATCTTTCACTCCAGTGATTATAATGACATTTTAACATACGTTTTACTTCATACTTTCTCTCCAAAGCATTCTGCAGAAGGATCCATTTACTCTTCCTGAAGTATAGCGCTGATTACCTTGTCCTTTTGCTCAGAGTTTTGGACTTCGTCATTTAGCAGTAGGTCAGAAGAGTATCATGAAAGGGCCCTCCCAGTACAAACCTACTAGATACAAGTGTTTTAAAAAATTGCTACTGTTTATACTTAGAGTAGGTACTGCACATAGTACCTTAAAAGCCCCCACCAAATAAGCTGAAACCAGACAGCAGCAAGCAGTATGCAAGCACAAATGGCAAGTTTGTCCTGTGGAAAATGCTAGTGTCAGCACCACAGTATTTCATAAGATTGAACCTTATGCCAAGGTCAAGGTAGGAGTTAAGACAGATTCTTATATTGGATTTTTTTTAAAGCCAAATGCAGCTCTATGCATTTATTCAAGACCCAATGAGTGAGACTATGGAAAACAGAACATTAAAGGATTAAAAATATAGTAGGGAAATCCTAACTAAACGAAAGTTCCAATAGATACATATCAAGCAAATTAGACGTTTGGAAAGAACATCACTGGGAGATACGACACTGTATAGTAGTAACTTTTCACTAATGGATTGGGTTTGAATCCCGTTCCTACACTTATTAGCTGTGTGAGCTTGAGCAAGTAACAACCTCTATGCCTTAGTGCCCCTTCTGAAATGTTTGTATAATAATAATATCTACTTCATGGGATTGTTGGGACAACTGAGTGAAGTAATACATATTAAATGCATATAACAGTTACTGACCCCAATAAGAGCTATGTATTATTTTTATTATTAATAGTATTAGAGATAGAGACCTCTCCCGTATAAGAAACAGTCAGTTCACTATAAAGTATTTTTAATTTTGTAAGCAACTAACAAAAGAGCCTCAGAATATATAAAACAAAAAATGATAGAACTTTAGGAAGAAACTGACAAGTTTACCATGTTTGTGTGATATTTCAAGCTATTTCTTTCAAATATTGATGGGTCAAACATCTAAAAATTCATAAATCTATAGATTTTAATGAGAGAATGATTTAAAGAGCCTATGTTGATTGTTGTACCAAACAGAGAAGTCATATTTTTCTAAAGTACACTTAGAACACTGATAGAACTTGACTGTATATTAGGCATGAATGTCTTAAAACATGTCAAGACACTGATAGCAACTATTTTCTCAGGGTAGTTTATTTTATGTATCTTTTTTTAATGTTTATTTCTTTTTGAGAGAGAGAGAGGGGAAAAAAAAACAAACAAACACAAGTGGAGGAGGGGCAGAGAAAGAGGGAGAGAGAAAATCCCAAGCAGGCTCCAAGCTCTCAGCATAGAGCCTGATGCAGGGCTCGATCTCATGAACGGTGACATCATGACCTGAGCCAAAGTCAGATGCTTAACTGACTGAGCCATCCAGGACCCCCGTAGTGTACTAATCTTATTAGCTACTTTTTCATAGCAGCAGGCTATTAACATGGGAAGGATACTGGAATAGGGAGCCTGGACACAGACTTTCAGACATAGATAGAAATGTGGTATGACAAAGATGACACTGTACATCCATGGGGAAAGGTGGAACTATTCAATTAACCATTTATGCACATGGGAAAAAAATTTAATTGGATCACTACTTCATTATAGTACCAAAACACAAAAATCAGTTCTAGATATATCTCAGGTTTAAATGTAAAAGGCAAAAACTTCAGCAGTTTTAGAAGAAAATGATCTTGGGATAAAGATTTCTTCAAAAGAAGCAAAAGGCAATAACCAATTGGTAAATTCAGATGCATTATAATTCAGAACTTCTATTCATTAGAAGACCAGGAACAATGTTGTGAAGTCAAGCTACAATGTGGGAGAAGGTGTCTACAACATATATAACTGACAAAGGGATGGTATCTGGAATGCATGAAAAATCTATAAATAAGAAATAAAAAGACCATCAACGCAATAGGAAAAAAGAAAAGGTATGGACAGGTCTTCTATAGAAGGAAAGATGAATAAGAATATTAAAAGGGGTTCAACACTTAGTATTTTACATCCACAAAATTGGCAAAAATTAAGAATTCTCTCTGTGCTAAGTGTTGGTAAAAACGTGGATCAACATTCCCCTTACAAACAGCCAGGAAGAGTGTAAAATGGCACAACCACTTTGGAAAACAAGTTGGCATTTTTGTACAAATCTGCATTCCCTTCTGCATTTCTCTTCCCTTCTAAGCATCTCCAGGGAAAATTCTTGGACATACAGAAGACATAAGAATATTTATAGCAACACTGAGTGTTATGTGGAAACTAATTTGACAATAAACTATTTGTAAAAAAAAAAAAAAAAAAAAAAAAAAGAATATTTATAGCAATAGTGTTTATAAGTACCAAAAAATTAGAACCCTAAATGAATCAAAGATGTGTAGAGGAGACCTGTATTTGCAGTCATTTAGTTGAGAGTGAAAGGACAGATAACAAGGAGCTAGAGAGTGGGCACCGAGTTTCAGCATGGTTTCTTTCTTCATAGATGGTTACTTTGTCTTTGAGAACAGAGGTTCTGTAAAATACTGCTTGCTATCCTCTGTGTTACCTTGTACATAGGAGGTTATGAAATCAGGGTATGTTGCATTAAAATGAGTTTCAAGTCTCTAGATTCAAAGATAAGAAACAGATTCCAAAGCTCTAGTGACTTCTGAATCACCTACTACTATTAGATCATCTACGTTATTCACTGTTTTCCCTTCTTAGTGAGGGAAGGGACATCAGAATCTGACTTTTCATCTAGTTTCTAAGGCTCTGAAGAGGTGGCCCTCTGACCATATTTAACAAAGCACCAGGAAATGGGTTAAATATCAGAAGGGATGACCAATGAGGTTAAATGACTTACCTTGACTCCTTTTCATTTATATCCACGTTATCATAGATAATACCTTCCTGAGACCTAAGTTCTAGGATCAGGACGGGAACAAAATAGTCCATTATTAGGCATGGCTGATACAAACTTCTGGGCCTTCTAAATGATCCACAAGTATCCATAATACCCAATTATCTAGGTACATCCATCCCCATGTCTGTTTTATCAAAATCTGCTCCCAGAATACAGACAGGCTGGAAGGATAAAAGAACAAAAAGAATCTCCATTTGGGAAGAAATTCAATTGAGAGATTAAATAGTGGCTGCCCAGTATCTCAAATACATATGTATATATTTGTCTCAATTTAATTTCATGCATATTTTCAGAAAATATGAGTTGCTGAAAGGGTCATCTTTAGAGTAGTTTCCCATCATCCTGGAACTTGGCAAAGATGTTTTACTTTTAGAACAGTAAGAGGACTTTTCCAAAATTCTGGAAAAAGACATTTAAGTAAAACATCCATGTTTTTTCCTCCTTAATTTTTATCTCAAACCATTGGTAACTGCTATTCTATAATAATCTAGCATAAAATTCAATCTTAGTGCATAATTCTAAGTAGACATTTTCAGTTTAGATAGTCACATTTCTTGCTGCTCTACATAGAACTCCATGTTTAAGTGATTTGCCACTTGAATGAATTTGAGACCTTCTTAGTATAATTATTTATAATTCGCATTTGATTATTCATAAATTTGACTGGGAGTACAATGCATGTCTATTCTGAGTTGGCTTTTTGGATTTTTACATGGACCAAGGAAATTTGAGGGGACCCATGATTTTACCAGGTTGATTTATAGAACCTTCACTTGTTATTTAGTACAGCAAACTCCTATTTCTGGAATACAATATACATTTGAGTTGCCTAATCAGAGTGAAATCAAAGTACCACCATGGCTAAGGCTTACAAACAAAAACCAACAAACACCACATGGCCCTCTTTTTTTGGCAGATTCAACTTACTGAACATGTACTGAGATCATACTGTGTGTGAGGCAATGTGCTAATCTGTGTATTGTTTTTATAGCCAAGAATATTCCAGTGACCCATCTTTGATTCAATTTGTATGTGTACTACAATGTGAACAGGTCCAACTTCTGTCTTAACTAGGATGATTTGACCGTCAGATTCTACAAGAGGCTGTGTGGTGTAATGTGAAATGCACAGCTTTGTAATCAGAGAGACTTGAGTACAAATCCCAGATCACTCAAGAGATGTGGATGTAGGTCCTACGGCCTCCCTAAAAAGATACTATTTTTCTAGGATTTTAAGAGGCCTGGTAAATAGTAGGCACTTGAGAAATGTTACTCATCTTCCGCAAAGTAAGTAATCCTGTTGGATAAAATGTTGTCTTTGATCTTTATGTGTCAAACTTTGATTAAATATGGAATGAAGGAAGGATTACTACTTCTCTTTTCCTGCCCCTGAATATGCCAATACTGAGTAGTTTTGTGCCAGTAGTAAGTTGATGTCACTTACCTAAATCAGGCAGCGAAATGGAAAATGCACTGTTGATTGACAAAAGACACAAAAGGGTTAAGGAGAAAAGTCAGGTTCAGAAAGATTAGCTGATCCATCTCAAATAACATATTGATGACCAGGTTTCTTGATGCAGATGCATCTAGGCAAAGATGCAAAGCAAACCTTTCCTGTAGCTTTGTTCTGATCAACCTTTCCCCCTGCTTCCACACCACCATTTGAAAAGGAGCCTATGTATCCCTGGGACCACTCATATTCCCTTCTCTAAGTAGACAGCTTCAGGCTCTGCCCCATCCAGTCACAAGATCCAGTTTTCACCTGCAGATCTTCCGAGATGCCCATCAAATACAGGTGTACCTTGTTTTACTGCACTTTGTTTTATTGCAATTCACAGACACTGTATTTTTGACAGGTAGGTTTGTGACAACTTAGCATCAAGCAGGCCTATCAATACCGTTCTTCCAAGAACATTTTCCTACTTAATGTCTCTGCATCATATTTTGGTAGTTCTCAAACTATTTCAAACTTTTTCATTATTCATTATGGTGATCTGTGATTATGACGCACTAAAGCTCAGATGATGGTTAGCATTTTTAGCAACAGATTTTTAAATTAAGGTATGTGCATTTTTATGACATGTTTCATGCTTAATAGACCACAGTATAAACACAACTTTTATATGAACTGGGAAACCAAAAAATCTGACTCACTTTATTGTTAACATTTGCTCTGTTGTGGTGGTCTGGAGCCCAACCCACAACATCTCTGAGGTGCGCCTGGACATGCATTGTGGTGAAAGAGAACCACCCCCTGCAGACATGGTACCCTGCCTATATGTAGGAATAAGCCAAAAGGATATCCTGAGGGCAGAATTCCAGGCCGGGGGGAATGGAAGATAGCAAATTGCTATGTGGGAGAGGGACATTGGCCCAAGTAAATTGTTTGGTTACACAGTTAAGGAGATGGAAGGAAGTATGGTGCGGTAGGAAAAAAAATCCATGTATGTTAAGCAATTAGTTTCAGTTCAGTTCTATGGGGACACTCACAATGGGCCAGACCCATGTGCTGGGTATATTAAATGATCAGACAGAGTTTCTACCCTAAAGTAGCTGGGGGTTTAGTGAGGGAGACCCAAAGTACAAAACTGTGTTAAGAACACAAGAAAGGAATGTCCAAAGCAACAGCACTTTTAGGAAAATCAGCTCACCTTTACGCACGCCTCAGTTTCTTCATTTCTAAAGTGCATACCAGCTCTATCTTACAGGCTGACTTAGTAGAGGAGCATGGGTGTACCTAAGAAGGTGTGTAGGGGAGGGAGCTTAGGATACTCAGTGTCCCTGCTGTCAGTGACTGTACACCCAGACCCGGTGGTGTCAGAATAGAGGGCAGCAGTCCCCGGAGTCAGAGAGAGCCACATCTGACTCGGAGTTCTGCCCTTATCCACTTACCCTGTGCACGCAACCTAACTTTTCAAAGCCCCCCGTTTTTATCTGTTCTGTCACATTGTGAGTATTGTGAGAATTGGAGAGAGAACACACATGAAGCAGTTCGCCCCCCTGTGCTCAATGCCTAGTTAGCATACTTCCTTGGCTTCTCCACTCAGGGGTTCCTAGCTCAGCGAAGCCTTTCTTAACACCAATTCCTTCCTCTGTTTTAGTTGCATCACAGTGATGGTAATCCCTATTTACTTTAAAAAAATTTTTTTTAATGTTTTATTTATTTTTGAGAGAGAGAGAGAGACAGCATGAGCAGGGGAGGGTCAGAGAGAGAGGGAGACACGGATTCAGGCTCCAGGCTCTGGTGGGGCTCGAACCCACAAACAGTGAGATCATGACCTGAGCTAAAGTCGGATGCTTAGCTGACTGAGCCACCCAGGTGCTCCAGTAGCTCCTACTTAATCATAGAAATGGAGGCTACAAAAAATCTCGAATGCTATTTCCTTCCTCTGGGTCATTTAACTCTTTCAACATTTATTCTTAAATAAATTATTGTCACTGTTTATTGTTATTTATTGTCTCGGGCACTGTTCTTTATGCTGGAGATGCAGCAGTGGACAAAACCATGAGTGCCCTCATGGATTCTAGCAGGGTGAAGCAGACAGAACAAGGATATTTATGCTCTGTCAAGTAAGGACAGAAGTGCAGTTGGACAAAATAGAGCAAGATGAGGGGACAGGAGAGCTGCAGGTGAGAGCTGGGTTTGCCATTTTTCAGAAGATGGTCAGGGAAGGGTTCACTGATAAGGTGACGGGAGTAGACATCTAAAGGAAGTGAGGGAGTGTGCCACACTGTTAGCTGAGTAAGAATGTTCTGGGAAAGGGAAAGGAAACAGCCAATGCAGAGACCTGCAGGCAGAGGTGTGCTTGGTCTCTTTAAAGAAAAATAAGGAAGTTGGTGCATCTGGAACAGATGGTGTGAGAACAGGTTTAACATCTAATTCCCATGTAAAATCCATAGCACAGCTAAGGCCAGTGGCATTTAACTCTTGGCTTATTTATACCTAAGTCCACACCATTTAATGACTGTCCTAAGAGACAGTGTGTGTATCTGAGAGAAAGAGCAGGTGGAGAGCCTTACTCTTTTTAAATGCCACATTCCCACTGTTACAACCTCTCTCTGAAGGTAAGACAGTTAACTAGGAGTTGGTGTTCAAGAGAGGAGCCCTCAATCAAAAAGCTCAACAAACGTTAATTAAAGAAATTCTGTCTTGTCCTGTTTTATCTATAGGTTGTTAATTGAAAAATTAAGGCTGAGGGGATTTACGAGGGAAAAAATCTTGTTTTATTTTTACTTGACAGAGTGTGAGTTGGGAAAAGGGGCAGAGGGAGAGAGGGGGGAGAGAGGGGGGGAGAGAGAGAGAGACCGAGAGAGAGAGACCAAGGGAGAGAGAGAGAGAGAGAGACCGAGAGAGAGAGAGACCGAGAGAGAGAGAGAGAGACCGAGAGAGAGAGAGAATCCCAAGCAGGCGCCACACAGTGCGAAGCCAGACACAGGGTTCCATCCCATGACCCTGGGATCACGATCTGAGCTGAAACCAAGGATTGGTCGTTGAGCTGACTGAGCCATGCAGGCACCCCAGGAAAAAATCTTAATAGACTGTCTTAAAGATAAAACATCTTTCTCTGCGGGTAGTGAATTTCTCCTTTATAGAGGTGTGCGAGCACAGGTATTTGGCTTGTTAGGAAGTTTGCAGAGAAGCTTTTGTAGTGAGTTAGACTAGATAATATGGATTTCTCTTGTAACCCTGCAATTCTCTAAGAAAAAAGGGTTTCTTAGGAGTATTAATAGAGGTTACAAGACATGCACAGGATGTTAGGGAGACATAGGAGACACAGATAATCCGGGTCTGGGTAGAGGGGTTCAGGGAAGGCGTCCGAGAAGGGATACTATTTGACCAAATTTTAAGACAAGAACTTTGATAATCAAAGGAGGTTGGAGGAGGGTTGGTACATTCCAGACCAAGGCAATGTCATGGTTAAAGCAAGGAGGCACCAATACCATGGCGGAGTTACATCTGTCGGGTATTTATATGGGATGGTAGAGGAAATCTGAGTGAGAACTGGAACTAGACAAGAAGGGAGCTTCCATAAAATATTCACTTGCCATAGAAAAATATTGGGTATTAGTGCTAAATGTCGTAAGGAGTCACTGAATAGTTCTAAGACAAAGGAAATCGGATTTGCATTAAAAAACATCAGCATTTTCACCTGGATCAAAGTTTTAGGGGATGACAGGCATCATGCTACTCATTTTTGGTCAGAAGCATCTAACCTGCTAGGGCCAGAGTATGCCTTCGTGCATAGGTCTAACTGACTACTGGAGCTCTACTTCCATGGTCAGAACTACAATCCATGAACCCTACAGTCTGTTGGATCTCTTGGTAGATCTAGATCTAGCAGACAACTGGACTAAAAAATCACATAACTTCCATGTTTTATGATGGACAAGAACGTCAAGGCAGAGTAAGAATTCCATGCCAACGTATCTGGTGACCTTGGGGAAATTATCTTATTGCCCCCTCCTTTCATAAGACACAGATTTACGTCTATATCTCTTCCTACATATTAAAAAAGTGTCTCCAGAGACTGCCCAGCCTTGCTCGTATGCAAGAGGAACCATGGGCTGGGTCATGATTTGCCCACAAGTGCACACAGAGTAAACGACAAAGCTGAAACCAGAACCCGGGTCTCCCATACTGCTGGTGAACCCGTAACCTTCTCAAACACTGGCAATTAGTGGGGCGATCTTGGAGGGTCCTTTCCAGGTGTACGACCTTGAGATACATGAACCAGTCAGCTGCAAAGTTCATCTCCCCTCTCTACACACTGCTTCTCTCCAGAGATGCAAATTAGAATATAGAAGCGTAGACATACGAAACCACAGAAAAGCACAGGGCTAAGAAAACATAAAAGGACATAATTAATAACATAATGGCTGGTGATAACAGGGATATATGCCAAAGATGATGAGGAAAAATTTACTTTCTGGACTTTGCTTAAGACTTTCCCCTCTACCCTTGTCTATAACCCAGTTTCATCGATTTTTTTCCAAAGGGGTGTTGTCACCTAATTACTCTCTGTGGGTGTGGTTCATTCACAAATTGGAAAGAGGCGGCAGGTGACAAGGAGGCCATCGACTTTAGTTGCTGATACGCCCTGCACGGTTTCTGAGAAGCGGATGTAGAACTATCAGGCTATCACTGTTAGTCTTCTCCTGGGAAGAGACGCTGCACAAGAATCTTTACCTTACATGTTTGTTCAACTTGTTTTTCTTCATTTTAAATCTGTTCTTTTCCTTCTTCAAGAATTTCTGCAGTCTTGTAAGTGCTTCTTTTCCATCTAAACTAAGAGGAACGCGAAGATATAAACAACATGGCATTTGAGAGAGTACTCCAGAAGGAAGAGGCTCATTCCAGAATGCAACCCACTCCAGGGAGAGAGTGGAAATGCCTTATCGACCTCTATGCTTTTCTTGTTCATTTAGATGCCAATATGAAAGAACACACACCAGTCAGCTATGAAGGGAATTATACATCAGTACAAACTTTATCCACCCCAAATGGTCTCTATTTTGCATATGTGAAGCAAGGTCTTCCTTTTAGAGAAGATGACTTAGGGAAGACTAGTTTACAAACTACACTGGAAATATAAGAATTCCTGGCTCCTGAAATCAGGTCACTGACTTTTACTTGATGACTGATATTACAACAATAGCGGTACATTTATCACGCAGTTAATCATTAAAATTCTTCCAAATATGCTCTTGGGTTGGGTTTTTTTGGGTTTTTTTTTTTAGGGTAGCTGGAGAGAGAATGATACATCTACAGCGTCCCACCCAGCATGGAACACTACTCTTCCCTCCAACCCTCGAACTTCTTGCTTTTGACCACTGCTGCTGTCATTTCCACAATGTGCCCTCAGAAACCAAAGTTGACGAGTAAAGCCCATTTGAACAAATACGAATTTGTTGAACACTGAATTCTTAGATATTAAATTAAGTCTAAATCCCAGAGATAGTCTTATTAACTTGCAAAGACACAAGTCAAGTCATAACCATTGATTTCTTTCTGTAAATGCAATGATAGGACTGAAGCAAGTTTTATTATTATTTACTTCTCCCTTCTCACTTAATTCCTAACATGATATTAAAGTCTTCTACTTTGAGAGATGGACGTTTTCTTAAGAGAGAAAGCAATATGATTAAATATTCTAGCATATGATTGTACACAATCCCAAGTCTCTTATTCATCACAATCGTAGTATTAAAATAGCTATCTCTACTCATGATGTAAATCCTAAGGATGAGAGGGTCAAGGGAAGAGGAAGAGGACTACTTCTTAAAGTCTAGTTTTCCTTTACCAGCAATACCATTAGCTATGGAGCTAAGAAAGAGAGGAACTCACTCTATTTTTGAGTAGTTGCTTTTTGTTTTGTAGACCTCTTCATACACTTCACTATTTTCTTCTGGAATTAAAAAAAATATTTATTATAATGACAATAGTTCAAATTCATACTTGACAAGAAATTATTAGATACCTATCAGGTGCTAGGTACACTTTCATGTCAGGTACATTTAAAAAAAATTTTTAACATTTATTTATTTTTGAGACAGAGAGAGAGAGAGAGAGAAAGAGAGTGAGCGAGACAGCACAAGCAGGAGAGGGACAGAGAGGAAGACAGAATCCTAAGCAGGCTCCAGGCTCTGAGCTGTTGACACAGAGCCTGATGTGGGGCTTGAAGTCAAGAACCGTCAGGTGATGACTTGAGTTGAAGTCGGATGCTCAATGGACTGAGCCACCCAGATATGTTTAAAAACATATCTGTTTTTAAAGTTTATTTATTTATTTGGAGAGAGAGGGACAGAGGGAGAATCCCAAGCAGACTCCGTGCTGTTTGCGCAGAGCCCAATGTGGGGCTTGATCTCACAAACCATGAGATCATAACCTGAGCCAAAATCAAGAGTCAAGACACTGAATCAACTGAACCACCCAAGTGCCGTAGTCACATGTTTTTTATAAGCATATGGTAACAATAATTAAACCCTTGTAAAATTAGGTATAAAATGAAAATTCACGTTTGCTTCTTCCCTGATCCCAAGTCTGATCTGGTATGGTCAAAGAAAGCAGGTTTATCAACAGATTGCATCCTTCTACCCTCTTCCTTTGCATATTTTGTATATAACATGCAGAGTCTACTAAACATCACATATTGTGTTGAATGTTGGGGCAAGAATAGAGAACCAAAGCATCTTGAATAATCTTCCCCTTCACAGCATGACTTTAGCCAATTCCAACACATCAGCTTAAGATACAATTTGAGGCTACCCTGTATTGGAGGATTTTCAAGTTTAATTTTTTAATGTTTATTTTTTAGAGAGGCAGAGTGTGAGCAGGGGAGGGGAAGAGAGAGAGGGAGACACAGAATCTGAAGCAGGCTCCAGGCTCTGAGCTGTCAGCACAGAGCCTGACAGAGGGCTCGAACTCACAAACCACAAGATCATGACCTGAGCCAAAGTTGGACGCTACACCGACTGAGCCACCCAGGCTCCCTGAGGATTTTCAAGTTTAAAACGTGACTCAAACACAGTGAGTTTAGGAGAGTCACTTAAATTCTCCATGCCTCAGTTTCCTTTCTAAAATGGGGTACTGAATTTCATGATCTCTAAGGTTGTTTTACCATCAAAAATTCTGACATTCTAAGGAGGACAAAAGCAACCAGAGAAGCATTTGATTATCTCTCCTCTATTACTTCTTCATCCATTCATTGGACAAATAATTTCTGGATGTCTAATGTGTCTGGCATTTTGTTAGGGGCTAGGGAAAACAGCATGCATAAAGAAGGTAATAATCCAGGAGGGAAGACAGTTACTAATGGAAGAATTGCATGCATATAAAATTATAGCTGTAAAGGACTGAGAGGCAGGGCCATGGTACCCTGAGGTTGAGTAGATTATGCCTCCCGGGGGGAATGATGCAGAAGCTGGGGTCAGAAGAAATAGTAAGAGTCATGTAGGCAAAGGGGCCCAGGGAAGTGAAGAACACTCCATGAAGGAGGAGGAGCACATGAAAACACTCTGAGGTGGAGCTTGGCAAGTATGAGAAGCTAAAAGGAGATCGGCATGAATGGATGTTGATGAAGACTGTACGGTATGAAGAGACTCCAGTGGCAGGTAGAGGCAAACCACTCAAGGCCTCTAGACCATGTTAAGGCTGATCTTAAAAGTTCTAGGAAACCATGACTGGGTGTTAAGTAAAAAACATTCCTATCATCAGACCTGCATCGTGAAGCCATCAGGAAGGATAGCATTTCACAGTGAAGGGTTTTTTTTTTGTTTTTTTTTGTTTTTTTTGCCATGAGAGCCCCATTATTAGTGGCTTCATCTGCATGATCCTAAAGCATTTGTTAGCCCACACCTCAGACCACTTCTAGCTTAGCACCACCTTGCCCGAGTGGCATTATTAAAAGTATAAATATAGATAAAAGACACCTTACACCAAGTCACAGAAGCATCAGCAATTCCTACCCACATTTTCAAACGTCTTCTTCTACGTACCATTATCTGAAGCAAATGAGCTAGAGAAATCTGACCTGGTTCTGCAGGGAGAAATAATGCAAAGACCATTAACCTGTTGTGTTGTACCTTTAAAGTTTCACCACAGGGCCGAAGGGCTGAGATGCACTTACCTCGCTCTGCCAGGGTAGTCAACATCATCATACATCTCCTCTGAGATGGAGTGAGGCTTCCAGGCCCCTTGGCCTGGCATTTCTGTAGTGACCTCCAAGGCCTCCACATACCCACCTGTACAGAAAACAGACAAAGTCCTGGAAGAATAGCTCATCAAGCGCTAGCATAAATGCATTCGCACGTCACGGTAGTGGAGGCAAGAATAGCAAAGGCAGATTTCATAAACTGGATTATAATCTCGACACACACATTTGTTTTAAATCTTTTTTACATTTATTATTGAGACACAGAGACAGAGTGAGAACGGGGGAGGGTCAGAGAGAGAAGGAGACATAGAATCTGAAGGAGCCTCCAGGCTCTGAGCTAGCTGTCAGCACAGAGCCCGAGGTGGGGCTCGAACCCACAAATTGTGAGATCATGACCTGAGCTGAAGTCGGGCGCTCAACAGACTCAGCCACCCAGGCGCCCCTCGATAGGCACGTTTCTCTGGCAAACCACTTTCCCTTGCAGAGACTCAGCTATGGTTCTCTGAAGTTGGGATGATGAAAACACCGACTCTTAAGTGAGTATTTTAAGGTCGAATACGTATTCAGGAAGGGTGCTAGTTACCTAGTGACCAGTAACTCCACCCTCTTCTTTGATGGCTATTGTCTAATCTCAGACCTCAGATGGTGAAACCCTCCATGGTACAGCCCTAGAGTTTCTCTCCCTTTATAAAATTTTTTTCAGTGTTTATTTCTGAGACAGCAAGCATGACAGTGAGTGGGGGAGGGGCAGAAAGAGAGAGAGAGAGACAGAATCCGAAGCAGGTTCCAAATTCTGAGCTGTCAGCACTGAGCCCGATGCAGGGCTCAAATTCACAAACTATGAGACCATGACCTGAAACGAAGTTGGATGTTGAACCGACTGAGCCACCCAGGTGCCCTTCTCTCTCTTTAAATCTAGATAATCTTATTCAGTTTTGTGGCATTTTTTTCTTCAAATTTCTTAGACAAATTGATGGAGCACATTAGCATTTCCTTATTCCTCAGTGATGGAATTAGCCAGAAGATGGTGTGCCAGGTTGAAAAATGTACAGAGATTGTGGGCACAAGTAGCGAGCCTGTTAATTACAGGTGCTGGTTTATTTCACAGAGCTGTAAACGTGTCATAACCATAAAACTGTCATATTTTTATCAGTTGGCATAGTTTGATATTTTGAGTACGGGTGATTCAGAACCATTTTCACACACGAACGATTAATCAGAAAGAAGAAGTGATACATCTGAGAAATAAGCAATGTGCAAATTGACTCATGTAATTAAATGAACCAAGTAAGAAAAGCTTATCCCCTGGTAAGAAGTCAGCATGTAGACCCCAAACTGTCTCAAGCACATCAGCTCCTTGATCCATCAGGTGCTGCCTTTCTGTAAGAGGTTATCCGTAAGTTTCTCCCAGCACAAAGCAAAGATCTTGAACACACAGGTGCTTAATTCCTAGTTCAAGACAAGTTTTTTTTCTTTCTTAATCCTTCCTTGGCTGCAGCAAATGTAAAAGTTTATGGCTTCATTTTAAAAACACAGACAACTCCCAAATTTACATCTCTAACTTCGACATCTTTCACAAATTCTAGATTCCCCGTCAGCCTTCACATCACTCCCATTTGGTTGTCTAAACACATTATGTTCCAAACCAAACTCATGGCTTCTCTGCAAATCTGCATTTCCTGAAGCCAGCCCCAACTGAATAAACAGTGGCAGCTTATCTTTTCTGTTGTTTGGGCCCCAAACACGGAGACATCCTTGAGTCTCTTCTCTACTTCCAAATTCTATCCTGAATCCATACACGTCTCAACAAGTCTACCACGTGCGCTCCTCCAAGCTCCCACCCTCGCTCCCTCTCTCTCACAACACACACACACACACACACACACACACACACACACACACACACATATTAGTACAACAAGCTCCTAACAGGTCCCTAATTTATCCCTTTGCATTTCTTCTTTCCTGACTGCAGCCAGGATGATTCTTTAAATGCAATCAGATCATTCTGTTCTTGTGCTCGAAACCTGTCATTGGTTCTTCAAAACCTGTCAGAGTAAATGTCAAAGTTCTTGCAATGGTCTACAGAAGCCCCCACACTATCTGGCCCCTTATCACGTCTGTGACCTCATCTCCTACTACACTCTGCTCCAGCCACACAGTCCCGGCTCCCAGCTGTTCTGCCCCCATACCTGGTAGGCTCCTGCCCCAGGATATTTGCACTCCCGAAAAACATCCTTACCCTAGGTACACATGGCTCTCCTACCTACTTTACATCTTTGAAGTCATTTACGAACACTTTTTTTTTTTTTTTTTTGCTGCATAAAGTATTATTTTATTAATATGAATTTCTTTTTTTTTTTTTTTTTTTTTTTTACAAATAGTTTATTGTCAAATTATTACGAACACTTTAAAACCGCAACTTCTAGCACCTCTCCTTGGCTTTCCTGATTCTCTTTCCTTGCCTTGTCTATTCCACATAACATTTACTGCCGTTCCACACAGTGGATATTTTACTGTTTATATATTTATTATCTGTCTCTGCGGATCAGAATGCAACCTCCTTGAGGATAGGAATTTTTATCAGTGTTGTCTACTGCTATACCCCCAGCATGTGGAACAGTGCCGGGCACATAAAGGCACTTCAGTATTTTATAATATTGAATGATTTAAATGGATTTAAACTAGAGTTTTGTGTACTGAATTTATAGTGTTTACTGATATGTTAAATTTTATATCTACCATCTCATTACATACTTTTATTTGTTCTTTTTTCTTGCCCCTCATCTTCCTCTTTCTTGACTGAGGTTTCTTCTCTTTATTCTTTTTTATTTTTTTGGAAGGCATATCCGCCATGTGTATCTTTTAAAAGTTACCCTAGTATGTTTTCAATTTTAATTATACAGGAAAAAGCACAAATCCTAAGAGTGCAGCTCAGTGGTTTTTCCCAAATTGAACATTTTCATGCGGGGAGCACATAGATCAAAAACCTAACACTGCCACTGGCCCCCCAGCCCCTCCCATGCTCTGTTCCGGTCGTCATTCCTTCTCATAAGTGTAGCCACCATTACAACACAACTTGTATGTGTCTTGGTAAACTGAAGCATGCATTTCTATTCGTGCAAGAATAGGCATGGGGCTGCCAGTCACAGGCACACCCTGGACTTTAATAGATGCCGCCAGATGGTTTTCCCTGTGATTTTTTTACAAGTATATATTGTGGAATTATTTGAAACCTGGGCTAGAAGGAGGTTCCATCAAAGAGGATTCTATCTGCTTTACCAGTGATCTGGGAAGGCTACTAAGTTGATACCACGTTACATTAAATTGGGTTTCTTTTGGACCACACACAGCCGTGGGGATCTGAACTGCCGGGGGTGGGGGTGGGGGTGGCGCATGTGGATCAGCTTACGGTAATCATTTTATTTTTTTCCTTCACGCAGCACCAGGGTCAAAAATGGACAATTTTCGGCTCACTGGGGTTTATGCTTTGTCCTTTTTTTGTCATCCAAAAGAAGTAACACTTTTATTTTGTTCATTTTCACAAGAGGCCTATTTGCATAGGAGTATAGAAAGACACTCTGTTGTCTTTTTCTTCTCAAAACTTTCCATTTTCGTGTGCACTCTCCTTAACTAAACATCCTGTGCTACTCAAACAAGTACCGCAAAGAGCCATTAATGGACCCAGCATCTCCCTTTGTGCTTTCACCGCATGTGCATTATGTACAGATTACTCAAAATAATCTTCTTTGGACTGTTTTCTTCACAGCATAATCCTCACATCTATAGTGACTCCTCATGGGCAGTACGTGATTGCATGAAAACAGTTCTCAGCCCCATATTCAGGGCTCCCCTTTAACTCTTTTATTCACTTCAACTTGTCTTCCTCTCCCTTACTTTTTCTTTCCTTTTTTTTTTTTTTTTTTGCTATACTCCAAATTAAGTCTACCCACTTCTCAAGGCACGGTTTTTGATTTTATGCCAACTCTGTGCTTTCTCGTGTCATTAAATCATCAGAAATTTCTTTTTGTCGCCTGTTGTCACATTTATTTTTGAAAAAAAATTATGATGTTCATAACACTTGGGTTCTAGCCTTTTGTAACAAATTTATAAGAATACAAAACAGCATTTTTAACTGTAGGCAGAGTCTTACTCATTCTATGTGGACATAATCCTTTGAGGTCCTGACTTTATCCAGGAGTCTCCTATTATAAGCTGACTTGGGGCAGGCCCTGGGGTACAGTGTCTGTCCTCTGCATCGCATGCAGTCAGAACAGAGGCCGCAGGGGTTCGGAGCTCAGTAAAAACCCTCAGGCCTAGAGTAGCTCTGGAATTCACCCTCCAGGGCTCCTGGTTCCTGCAAATACATGGATGGTTTCTTTTTACATCAGTTCTGTGATACTTTAATACATTTTCCAAAAATGTATTCTTTACTTGCCTTAGTCCAGAGAATTATTCATGATGTCAAACCTACCAGAGAGTCACTGAAGTTGGATTTATTCTTCTATTCCTTCCCTTAACAGCTTTGTTGGGGTATTTCCAGGGTGCCCAACACTGTACCAGGTTGCAGAAAAACAGAGCAAAATACCAAATGGTCTCTGATCACACAGTGCTCACCATGTATCACTGGAGGCACACACATATCCCACAAATTAGAATGTAAAGGACGCTACAATTTTTTTAGATAAGGAAATCAATGAAGAGAACTAACACTTACTGAGCACACTAACAAGATACTTTATATGCATTGACAAAAGGACCCTGGAAAATAGGTAGTATTATTCCCATTTGCATATGAAAGTCCATAAATTTCCTAGGATTATGGGATTAGTATACAGTGCTCCTAGGCCCCAGGATGGCTTAACTCTAAAGCCTAATATGGAATGTGGTCACTCAGTTGCTGTTTTCATGTCATGGAATCAGAAAGGAGTGAGGAATCACCTCCCTGGAGAGCAGGGAAGAGGAGGATGGACTGGAGTAAGGGAGGCCTCAGAGGAAGTGACTTTTGAGACAGATCTTGAAGGATGCCTAGGACATCAGGAAGTAGAGGATTCCAAACAGAGATCAGGCAAAATTAGAAGGGCACTTAAATATGTGACTTGGGAAATACAGAATACAGCAGACTATGGAGGGATGTGGCCAACTAGTCCAAAGGTGGATTTTAAGGGGCCCTGGGCTCATCTTATGACCACTGTGTTTTTATTCTTCTCATAACTGATTTGTAACATGTGAAATGTCAGTGGTTTGCCGTGATTTACTGGGCTGGACATGTTTTGTATAGCCGGTATCTTCTTTTTCTCTCCCTGACAACATCCCTTTCCTTTTGCTTGGGAAATCCATCAACCTGAGTTACATAGTTTTGGTAGAATTGACTCTGCCCCCAGCTCCAGGGGTGAGTTTATGACACAGGCTGGGCCACCCACAGCATCATATCTCCCATTCATGATGGCTGGTTCATCGATGACATGTGGCCCAATCAGAACCAGGAAGACCCAAATGTGGGGCTTTTCTCAGAACTGTTGAGAGAAAGTTACAATTTCTAGTGTTCCCCTGGGGTTCCCAAGATGATAGGGGATAAGCCTGTTAATGCTGGAAGCCATCTTACCTCCATCAGGGTAGGGTTTGTCTGAAAGTGGACCCAAGCCAGAGGGTGAAGAGCCAGGAGTACAAGAAGTACTACTGAGTCTTTGTGTTCCTGTATACTTAGATCCAGCCATGGCCAGACTTTCCTCAAGGTGAGCTTTTTTTTTTTTTTTCTTAATACAGTATGATGTGATCATGGTTACCTATAATCAAGAGTCTTGACTCACAGGAAGGAAAATACAACCTAAGTAAAGGCAACTAATGAGATCATACTATATCAACAGTGTGTCAATTATTTTGGCCTCCAAAATCCAACAGGAGCTGGTAGATATACGAGGAATGAAGTAAGTATTTGCTGAGTACCTAGTATGTGACATACTGTCAGACGTGGCCCTCACAAAACTCCTGTGAGGTCCACAGTATGATCCCTTTTTCTGAATGAAGGAACAGAACTTCAGGAACATGAAGTTATTTCTTACATAGTGGGTAAGATTTGAACTCTGGTCTACTTCTAAATCCAATGCTCTTTCCACGACCCCATACCTGTGTCACTACAGCGAGTTACCTAGTACCTAACAGATGTTCGATAAATGTTTATAAAATAATCTACAATCTTGGACATGCACACCTTTAAAATCATTCGGTGATGGTGAAGAGAACCAGGAAGAACACGACTTACAGTGGCCTAAGGAGCGCCTGGCCAGCTTCGGGTCATGGGGGCGAGGCTTCATCTGGACAGCGTCGCTCACAGTGTCCTGCTTCCCGGGCAGCGTCCCCCCATTGCCTCTGTGGACCTCCGTCACCTTGTTTCTTCCCAGCATCCCTCCAAAGGCAGCCCCCTAAACACATGCAATAGGGAGGGTACTGGTGAACCTGGATTTATCTTGCTCTGTTTTTCAGATTCCTGCCGTCCTTTATTCATTCATTACTCACGGATAGCAAGGATTTATTATTGGACCAAACACAGCCTCCCTAGACTAAGTTTCACAAGGATGCATATGATATCTTTTGCTCATCTGTGAATGGCCATGGAATGCCCAGCACGGAGGCAGCCCCCCAGGAGGCAGCCCGCATGTAACACAGCACTAATATTCTTCATGTATTTAATCTCACCTCATCGCCATGACACCCCATTAGGAAAATATCACTAGTCCATGTGATGGAGAGTTTCAGAAGGTTAAATCACTGGGCTCTGGTCTCACAGCTAGTCATGTACCAGGGCAGGAGTTGAGCTCAGAGCTCTGTGCTCCTGGCCACCAAGGGATGCTGTGTTCCTTCTGCCATGACATTTCATCTTTCCACCTGTCATTCTTCCGTTCCTCTTCACTTCCTTTCATCCTTCCTCCCTCCAGCATTTGTCAACACTAATGCTGAGTTCTGGAGACAGAGACAGGGGGCACGTGGCCTATGCGCCGATCATGGAGACAGTACACATGAACAATTAAGTACAGTGTGGTGAGCACTACTTACAGTTGTATTATTCACAGAGACGGAAGTAGAGAAGGGGAGGTCCATTCTCTAGGCTGGGAGACAGGGTGGGGGAAGACTTCTAAACCATGTCTTATTAAAGGGGATTTTAAAATGTAAGTAAGAGATCGACTGAGGGGATAAAGAGATACCTGGTACACAAATCAGCATGAGCAAAGCCACAGGTGGCCAGAAGAGGGGAAAAAAGCTGAGACGTGGAAGATGTGACAGAATGAGGCTGAGTGATGCAGGGTCTTGCAGGAAAGGCCGACCGTGGGCTTCACGGAGCCTCAGGCTGCAACCTGGGCAGATGTGCGTTTCAGAAGGGTCTGGATGGATTACCAGGAAGAGGCCCTGGAAGGACCAAGGAGAATTACAGCATTTCTGGCCATTTAGGAGAGGAGATTACGGTCCTTGCAGCTGCACGTGGATGGGAGGGTTGACCAGGACACTATCTCTGAGTAATTGGGACACAGCTGAAGTACTTAAGAGACATTAAGTATGGGATCTCTCGAGGTCTTGGTAGGACCTGGACAAACAGAGAATACAAGGAGGGGCAGCTTTTTAAGTTACCCAGCAGAGAACAAAGTTTTTAATGGGGAAAAATGACAAGGAAGAAAGTCAGTTTCACACACCTGCCAAACTGCCTTCCTTCACTGGCCCCTAATACAGTGGGGCGGGGCTTCCTGCGGGCTGTCCTGGGGAGTGCTTCCAGGCTCCACTGGCGTCACAATGGATTCTGTTTCTACTGACTTAGCATTTACATCTGACCCCAATCAGCACTGCCCAGCTACACCACCCACCACATTTATCTAACACAATCCAAGTACTTTTTATTCTCAAACTCAAATCTACTCTCTGAAAGCAGGAATGTGTCCCTTTAGTGGTAGCCTGACCCCGCCCCCCCCATACCTGGTTTTGCTCTTTCATGGTCACTATGACTAACCGTCCTCCCCTACTGCCTTTTGCATGCTCCTGATTAACCCCTTCCTGATCGCAGCCTCATCCCCCACTTACGGCCTTGCCCTCCCTCTGGCCTCAACATGCAATGTCTAACTCTGGTCCCAGTCTTTCATAATTAGTGACTTATTTCTTCCCTGAATTATGGTGTTTTGTGACACCCTATAAACAAACACACAACCTGGCCAGCCTGGCCTCTGGGCCGACACACTGCTTCAGGCCCACAACCCCGACAGCCTGTTGGATTCACCCAAGTCCTGCAGATGGAATGGAAACAATCTGAGGTCATAAGATAGGCTCATCTCAAATAGGCTCCTAGAATGTTCTGAGCAGTATTAGCAGCCCTGGTGGTATCAACTGGTGAAGCCTCTGACCACTCCAGCTGTTTCCAAGGGGACAGTGTCAATTGGATACAAAGAGACACAAGTGTGTGGTATTTGCTAGTAGGTAATAATTAACAATACATTTCATTTTTATGGCAGCTTAGGGTTTACAAAGCACTTTCACGTACATTACTTCTTTTTATCTTCACTAACGAGACAGAATCAAGATGGGACTGGAAATAACTGGGTACAGGTTATTTCTTTTTCTTTTACAGATGAGATGGCCGAGCTGAGAAGAAGTTGTTCTAAGCAGCGCCTCTGAACACATGCCCTAACGAGGCCCTTCCTCCAGGCTCGTTCTTTTGCAGGGCACAGCACCCGAATGGCCATCTCTTTATGTTTGCCCCCAGAGCACCTTGCTGAATTCACACTAGACCCAGCCCACCTCCTAAGGTCTGCTTCATGGCTACTGAGTGGAAAATCCAAGGCTAGAGCTCTGTGTTACTGTCACGTTCATTTCATTGATAAAACACCCAACACCCCCTGCATCTTGTGACTCTGGACAGCTGCTGTCACAGCCTCTGAAAGGTCCCTCCATGAACTGCTCCTAGAACATTCCTGAACTGCTCTGTTTGGCCCGGAACCCTAGCAGACTCGTACCTTGAAAAGATGGCTTGAATGTAGACCCCTTTCTCGTTTTTGAGGTTCCAATTCACACAGCTCCTTTCCTTCATCTTTCCTTTCTTCATCCTCATGTGTAGGGCTTAGATGTGAAGAGATACGAGGGAAAAAGTGAGGTTCAGAGGTTTAGAACATAGTGTACCACCCAAACCTTAATGAAACGAATAGAAAAAATGAATGTAAACAGACATGAATAATCCCTCTTCTCTCCCCAACTTCTTCTAAGATGAGGATCAGGTCACCCATTAGATCATCTCATTGAATTTCTATCTGCTCCAATCAATGCCAGAACAAATCCCTGCTTGAAATCTCCCTAGGAACTCCCTATCGCCTATAGGATAAAACAGAAGCCCACTATGATCTTGCCACAATCTTTCTTTCCAACCGGGTCTCCCTCTGCTCCTTTCCTCCACTTTTGTCCTAGATTCTCACATTTCCCAAACATACCATCCTAGTTCAAGCAATTCTGCCTTTTTTCTTTCTAAGTTTACTTTTTGGGGCGCCTGGGTGGCTCAGTCGGTTAAGCGTCTGACTTCGGCTCAGGTCATGATCACACGGTTCATGGGTTTGAGCCCCGCATTGGGCTCTGTGCTGACTGCCAGCTCATAGCCTGGAGCCTGCTTCAGACTCTGTATCTCCCTCTTTCTCTTACCCCTGCCCACCCCTCTCTCTCTCTCTCTCTCTCTCTCTCTCAGAAATAAATAAAACATGAAAAAAATAAGTTTACTTATTTATTTTGGGGAGAGGGGCAGAGAGAAGATCCCAGGCAGGCTCTGTGAAGTCAACACAGAGCCTGACAGAGGGCTTGATCTCATGACTGTGAGATCATGACCTGAACTGAAGAGTCAGACACGTAGCTGACTGAGCCACCCAGGTGCCCTGCAACTCTCCCTGTTTAATTATCATTTCCCTTGTCAGACATGCCTTCCTCATCTATTGCTGGAAAACATAACAGCCTTCTTAATTTTTCTGAATCTGCTTCCCTCTGAGAATCCTTTCCTGATTCTCCCAGTCCTACCTTCTTATCTGCTGCCCCAATAATTTGTCCTTCCATCTCATAGTATGATGCACTGTCTATGAATCTGCCGCCAGCTCCTTCACTCTGCCTTGCAAACTAGCAATCAAGTTATAAGGAGGCAGAGTTCTGTTATTTCTGTGCCCCAGCGTGAACACTGTGTAACCCATGGCAGCAACAGCACAGTCCTGGCACAGAGTGCTACTCAGCTAGTATTCCCTAAGGAAATGAATGACTGCCGTGCACAAGTACACAGACAGCAGGTGCACGGAGGGAGCGTAAGAGAGGATGCATGGACAGCATCATGAAAAACCTAAGGACCAAGGACAGAATGCTGGAGAATGCCAACACAGAAGAGAGCTTCTGTTTCTGGAATAGTGAACTAGATTTATGGCCACATTTATATGGAAGGTGGAAGGAGAGGAGCCCTCAAAGAAAATCAGAAGGGGGGCATTAAGGGAGGAAAAGCACCAGAGAGAGCACTGTTCTGAATGACAATGGAAAGAGTTGTAAGGGGTTTCATTCATTCATCTAATAACTAAGCACTCATGCCCACCATTAAGGCCATATGCTAGTTCTGGGCTTGCCGGGAGCTGTGATTGAGGGTTGGGTGCTAATCCCCACTTATACTAAAAGTCTAAGATTAACCTCTGTAAAAAATCAAATTGTATCATTTATAAATGAAAGGTCACAATGCCAATCTCCATGGTTACCATGAGAATGAAATGTGATAAAAATGCTGAAAGCCTGGCACTGTTCAGAGAACATAATGGACCCTCAATAATTGTTGGTGTACTTTTCTTCACAGAAGTATTTGCTATGTTAGAAGTACCCAATTCTCATGTTCTTATTGCATACTGCTGATATTTCTCCTACAGCATTGCCTGCCTTGTTGATATTTATGTCCTTTGTAATCTATCTTCCTGTCCCTCAGGTCCTTTTCTGGTACCTTCTACACAATTGGATCTCCACTCATGATTATTGAATTAAATTCAATACTGTCACTTCTAGGAATACTATGAGGGAATAGGGTACATTATCCCTGCCTTGAAACTCTTATAATTCCCCCTCATCTATATACAGCATAAAGTCCGAATGTGTGCCATACAACAGTGACCACTGTCCATGTGTGGCTCTTGGGCATTTGAAATGTATCTGGTCCAAAATAAACTATAAGTATAAAATATACCTTGGCATGAATAAAAGACTATAAAATACTTCAGCAAGAGTTATTACATTGATTACACGTTGAAATGATATTATAGTATACTGGGATAAATGAAATATATTCATTTCACCTGTTTCTTTTTACTTTTTAACATATGGCTTCTAGAAAACTCTTAAATGACATCTGTGGTTTGCCTTATAGTTCTATTGCACGGGGCTGGTCTAAATGGTAAAATAGGAAGGGCAGGCCCTCTTGGATCCTACTCTGTACACTCCCCGGGCTTTGCCTCGTCTGTGCTCATGCTGCACCTTACGCTCGGGCATGATCCTTGTTTGTGGATTCCTGGACCGGCCTCACTGTTGAGCACTGTCTTTGCTCATACTTTTCCTTCTGACTGGAACGTACTTTCTGACATTTTCACCCGGCCAGCTCCTACAGGTCTTCCAAGAATAAACCGAGCTGTCGACTCTTCAAGAAAGCACACCCAGAGCCTCATTTCTGTGCTTCTACAACCTCTTAGCAGTGATTATATTATATCGTAAAGTCCTACTTATGTGGTCATCTGCCTCCAAATAGCCCCTGCCCACTAACCATTCTGGCCTCCACTCTCATCTTGAGCCAAAGGCAGAGAATATATTCTATTCATTTTTGTACCTCAGAATCTAACGGCATCTGACCAGAGGAAAAGCTCAATAAACATTGAATGAATCATTTGACATGTGCTTACCAAGTGCCCAGCACCAAGCTAGACGCTAGAGGGGAATTATGGGGGGTAAGAACTGAGGCAGGTAGGCCAGAACTCAAGGAGGAAGATGAAACAGATTACCCCTATGATCCACTGCTTGTGTTTTTAGCCTCAGCCAGAAAATTTTGATACTTCTTCAGAGCTCACTGACCATGTTTCCTCTAATATATTAAAAATAACTCAGGGTAAGAGTGATAGACATAGACTCTGAAGAGATGGGTAAGAGGTGGGTAATGCCCTTGCCAAGACCGTGCTCTGAACCTATAGGTAAAAGAGGTTTTAGGAATACCAAGAACAAGGAAACATGGGCCCTCCTCACAAGGAGCTCATAGGCAAGGAGGATGTAGGGAGCAGAGGGTGTGGATGAACTGGCATGTCAGCAAACAAACGACACACAGTGATGTCACTGCAAACTTGTGTACGTTCCAGGGAAGGGACTGGCTACTTCTCTCTGAAGGAGAAGAATAAGGAAGACCTCTTACAGGAGGGGATGTTTGATGGTCAGTCAATACTTGCCAGATCATTAAGTTGGGGACCAAAGGCATAGAGACTTGAACAGCACACTGTATTTTGGAAACCAAGGTCTTTGAGAGTCACATGACCATTTTGTGCCTATTTGGTGACTCCCACAATCCAGGAGCCCCTCAGGGTAGTGGTCACTGTCCCACCACTGCTACAGTCCCAGCAGTTAGCAAGTGGCTGGCACACGTTGGGGTCTCAGTAAATGTCTGGTGATGAGTTTGGTGTGGGCTAGACCAAGGCAGGAGGGAAAGGCTGGGCAGGAGCCCTGAGCACCTTCTTTGCACCAGGCACCTTGTGGGGCCCTAGGGAGGCTCATCCGGGCCAGTCTCTGGAAGCACAGCTGGCCCATCAAGGAAAACTAGTTCAGTCATCAAAGGGTCAGTGGTTGCATTAATGCTGTTACATTTGAAGATAAAACTCACCTAGATTCTTGATGGACACCACTCTTCCAAGGCTGAAAGTGAAAAGGAAAATGGTCATTTTCCTCAATCAATCCAAACCATGCCTTTGTTGTCTGGTTACAGACCATTAGACACTTGACCAAAAGATGAGGTGAGGTCTGAGGAGAGAGCAAAGGTGGACACAGACAACGGTAACTTCCAGGAACTACGAGAGGAAAACACAACAATCCCAAAGTTATGGCAGAAGAAATGGGTAACTTGACTTAGAAGAACTAATTGTCCTCTGCATGCTTTTCTAGGAAGCCATCTGTAGAAGAAAGACTTTTGAGGAAAGCCATTTGAGGAAATATGCACTTAATGATACTGGAGTAGTGTTTCTGTGGGCAAAAGTGGTAACCTGAGTGTAAAAGCCATGCTGGGAACTCTCTCTTGCTGGTCATGCACCCCTTGATCCAATGTCAGCTCTCATATGATCTAGACTCGGCTCTGTTAAAATTATGTCCCAGTGACCACAACATAGCTCATTTATTCAGCTGCCACCAAGTCTGATTCATTCATTATTTTGAATCTACACAAGAATACTGACGAAAACAGAAGATATCTAAGGCTTAAAAATGCTGCCCCTAAGACCAGCCTCATAGCTCATTTACCCTCCTTGGAGGTGAGCCCCACAGCCTTCATTCAGGAACTGCTAGTTTTTATTTTCTATAGAATTCTAACAAACTGGATGGCAGCACAGGTAAAATGACAAGTCAGATGGACCTCTGCTACATTACTCACAGGTTGTTTAATCTCTCTGAGCCCAAGGTTCTCACCTGTGAAATGGAAGCAGAGATACCAGCTGGGCGGGGAACACTGAGGATTAAGTGCTCCCATATTTGCACAAGTGCCTGACACCCAGCAAGGACGTGGCACATGCTTTTCCACACACAAGACTCCCTTCTAGACACAAAGGTATTGACAAAGGAATCCTCACTGTCCAAAAGGAGAAAACAGTTACAGCAAACACCCTTGCGGTGGCTGGGCGTGAAGGGATCTAGCTCTGAACCCCTCACAAGGGCCCAAGAGCGTCTCATCAAAAAGAGTGTGAACTGTGTCCACTCAGTTCCATTATGTTCCGGAGGATTCCACGTCATCAAGAAAAGGTGAAATCAGATTTCACATACCCAGTTAAGAATACTGAGATGAATGCAGTGGGGTGGTACAGTTGGTTAAGCACCAACTCTTGATCTCAGCTCACATCATGATCTCATGGTTCGTGAGTTTGAGCCCCGTATCGGGCTCTGCAGTGATGGTGTGGAGCCTGCTTGGGATTCTGTCGCTCATTCTCTCTTTACCTTCCCTGCTTGTGCTTGCTCTTTCGCTCTCTCAAAATAAATAAATTAAAAAAAAAAATACTGAGTGAACACAATCCATGCCTGCAAGTTAAGATTGAAAACTTAAAAATACTTTGAAGCTTTCTAAAATTTGACTGGGATAAACCCTAGTTCTTTACAGAGTTTACCTGTGCAAAAAAGTTTATCACTGGGAGATGCCGCCAGATCACTGAAGCTCATTTTTGTTTTGTTTTTGGGCGCTTTTAAAAAGTTAGGATGTTTCTACCCTTATGAATAAGAAAAATAATCATTTATAGTTTTCTAACTGTAAAATGTAGCCACCAATGAACAGTCCTTTCCAGTTAAGTGTAAGAACACAAGCAGAAAGATGTAAGATTCGACTAAATGAAACCAGTGAGAAGACAGTCAACTTTAATTGACCCCCTTACAACATGAGGTTAGCACCTACCGTGTGCCAGGCACTTACCTACTCTGAGTTCTGCCAGTGATGACGAATCCCCTTATTTACTGAGCATCTACTACAGAAGAGATGGTAACCACAAGGCATATACTTCCTGCTCTCACAGACAGTACACATTTCACAGCAGACAAAACCTGGGCTCATAACTCCAACAGATGTAGGCACTGGCTATTAAACCGTTCACCTGAATTTACCTTACTCTCAGTCCTACAATGACCCCAAATACGAGCACTTTTTAAAAAATTTTTTAAATGATTATTTATCTTTGAGAGAGACAGAGAGCGAGTTGGGGAGGGGCAGAGACAAAAGGAGACAGAGAATCTGAAGCAGGCTCCAAGCTCTGAGCTGCCAGCACAGAGCCCCACGCGGGGCTTGAACTCATGAACCGTGAGATCATGACCCGAGTCGAAGTTGAATGCTTAACCAACTGAGCCACCCAGGTGCCCCTGGGTACTTCTATTATCTCTGTTTTCCAGGTGAAGAAATGGAGGTTCAAGATCACATGGCCAGGAGCTGGGATTGAGGCCAGCAGTGACTCTGCCTGAACCCGAATCAAGCTGTTCCAAAGTGGCACCTAGCACTGTGTCCACCAGGAGCCAGGAAATGTGCCTTCAAAGTGTTTTCTCATGAAAACACAGATATGCAAATCTGGCTTGTGCCACAGCACTCCTCTCTCCGAAGGGACAGTTATTAAAGGCCAGTTGGTGCTGGCCGCCACAGATAAGGGGCCAGGAATGGATTGGGACCAGCTTCTCTCCTCCTTCCACATTCTCTGTCTTTGTTATTACAGACCTTAGGCTACAGAATCTCAACAGCTGGAGTCTTAGAAAACTCTCAGGAATCGGGGGGGAAAAACTCAAAGCAAAGGCTTTTCTCCTCGCTTGTAAAACAAACCAATTTACAATCAATTCTGTATACCTGCTGTCGTTATAAAGTTCATAAAAAGAGCAAACGATACCTTTCGGAGTTCTTCAATTTCGACTTCATAAGTTGCTAAAATAAACATGAGAAAAATTGTATCAAAGGCAGGTTATTCACCCATTCCGTACAGCACCCAGGATTCAAGCAATTATGCAAGGCTGCCAAGTTCAGTTTTCTCAGCCTTCAGAACAGGATCTGTGTGAGGCTTTGTCTACATGGTTTGGGAAACTCTCGGGTCACTGACCAGGGCTTTAATCTCTGTGGGGATTTCCAGGATGGAATCCATGGTCAGTGAAAACATTTGAAGCAATTTCCAGTTTCCTGTTTTGGTAAATAGATGTACACCCCAAGCTTAAGGAGATAGCACTGAAATTTAGTGGCAGCAACCAGAAGGGGAACTTGGAAGGGAAAAGAAAGGAAAAAAGCCCACTGTCTCCCCCCCACCCCCCGCCCAAAAAAAAAAGGCCTAAATCCAACTTCAACAAAATGAACTCCAAAGCACACTTAGAAGTGTTTTACTCTAGGACTATTTTGTTTCCTTAGTACCTCTTTTTAGTTTTGAAAAAATTTTATTATTTACTTTTGAGAGAATGAGATAGAGTGTACTAGCAGGGGAGGGGCAGAGAGAGAGGGAGACACAGAATCTGAAACAGGCTCCAGGCTCTGAGCTGTCATGTGGGTCTTGATCTCACACACTGTGAGATCAGGACCTGAGCTGAAGTTGGACACCTGACAGACTAAGCCACCCAGGTACCTCTTCTTAGTACCTGTTGAAAAGAGACCAGCCACCAACTAAGGCTTGAATTCCTTTTGACTGTTTGAGAAATCTGTGGAATGTATTGAGTGACGGGATGCCAACCTTAATGATTAGCAAACGCAAGTAGTGGCAAGAATGTGGCTTCAGAGTCTAGTCCTGCCACTCCCCCCGTGGGAGTGCAGACAAATTCCTTCATTTCCTTGTGTCTCAGGGTGCTCATCTGCGAAAGGCAGTCAATTGGGACCCACCTTACACGGTTAATGGGGAGGTTCAAGGAGATGATGTAAGAAATGGAGCACCTAGCAGAGCACCAGACATTGTATAGAAAGTGATGGGGTTTTTGACAAAATTGCTTCTTTGAGTTTTCTTTCTTGAGATGTCATCTATAAAAGTTTTCCCCCTATTGCTAATGAATACATGGGCCTAATAAGTAGGACTCTCCCTGTTTCTCTCTTCTTTCTTGCTGCTAGGCTCCTGAAGCTTTAGTTTAAAAAACTGACCCAACAATATGTTGCATTACTAAGCCATTATTATTTTACACGGGCAGTCCACGGGTAAAAGAAAGGAAATCCTAGGCTTTCTTTTGGGACTGCCTGCAAGTGACTATTGACACGAAGATGTAAGATTCTCAATGCATGATTAATACTGTGCGCTTTAACATGAGTAACTGTACACTTTTATTTTTTTACTGATTTTTGAATCAAAATGTGTTACACCTGGCTATTGCTTGCTTTAAAACTTAGTTTAGCTATTAATACATTGTAATCATATTTGCTTACAATGCAATTTACTCCATACCCATTCCAAGTATGGATTTCTTTTCCAATTTTAAAAATGTTAAGTTCCCTCCCCTGATTTATTTACCAGTTTTTGTTTTTCAAAGAATTCATAACTCCTGATCTTTTTGCTTCTCATTGCCACCGTGGAGAGGGGAGATATTACTAGTCTGTCTTCGAAATGGGGAAACCAAGGCTCAGAGGAATCTCACTTGCCTAGGCTAGGACACAAAAATACACACGGAGTAAATAATGGATTCATAATCTGATGGTGCTTTTTAAGAAAGTGGAGGTCTTCCAATGGCAAGTTTTGCCATCACAACTTGCTCCCAAGGTAGAAATATAAAGGACAAAGGACTGAACCCCACAAGGCTAGGGAGGGACAAGGACATAATAGGAAGATGTAGCCCACGGCACTGGAGCCCTCTCTCTCTCCACTGAAGAGCTTTATCCCAGCTGGGGAAAAAGGACACCTATCAGAAGATGGTCCTTGTCACTCACCAACTGCTAGTACCATAATATGACCACAGCCTTTGGCTGTTTCTCCACGTACTAATAACTCTCTGTGTGACCTATGGAAAACTAGGAGGTGAGAGCACTATTACTAATAATATAGATGTAAGAAACAGCAGCAGCTCATATTTTTTACACTTACAGATAGCAGGCAGTATGCTAAGTGTGTGAATGCATGATTTTATTTCATACAATGATCACTAGTGATACTCCCATTTCACTGATGAGGAAGCAGATGCCCAAGAGTGAAACAACTTGCCCAATGTCACTCAGTTAGCAAACGGCTTTCAAACAAACTTCCTTCCAGCCATGAATCATTCATTTACTGTATTTTTTAAAATATAATTTATTGTCAAATTGGTTTCCATATGTCACCCAGTGTTCATCCCAACAAGGGGCCTCCTCAATGCCCATCAGTGGGGGATGGACATGAATCATTCATTTAAATGGAATATTGTGCACAAGGATGGGTAGAACTCTGATTAATGTTATCTTCAAGGGTTTCTAGTACCCTTCAGGAAGCACAGTCCAAATGGCTGGTTTAAATGACCTCTGAGGACAATTCTGCAGAGCTCCTAGAACAGCTTAAATCTTGCTTACCCAAGTCCTATATCAAAAGGCAGAGCTTCAGAAAAGGCATCTGTGCTGAGCTATGAACCCCTGAGGGGATGGTCTTTGTCTTCCTGGCATTGTGCAAGGGACAAAGTCATACAGGGGTGACAGTGAAGGCTAATCACCTCATCCTTTCTCTTCTTCTCCTCCCTCCCTCTCCTCCTCTCCTTCAGAAAGGTATCATTGAGATTCCTCATCCTTCATGGGCAGGGAATGAAAGAAAGAGCCAGTGTGAGTACATCTTCGTAGAAGATAAGAGACCACTCCTGAGGGGATTTTTTTTTTTTTTTACCTATGGATATCTAATTGCTCCAACACCCTTTCCTCCATTAAATTCCCTTTTGCAATTTTAAATTTTTTTTTCAAAGAAAGAAAGAAGGAAAAAAAAGAAAGGAGAGAATGAAAAACAAAAGAAAAGAAAGAGAAAGAAAAAGATCAGTTCCTTTGCTGTTCTATATACATTATAGAATAATCTTGTCAATTTATACAAAAGATACTGCTTGGAGGCTTACAGGAATTACATTAAACCTGTCTATGAATCTGGGGAGAATGTTTTTTCTATATGGAGTTTTCCAATCCATAAACATGGTATATCTCTCCCATTGATGTAGGTTCTCTTTGAATTATTTCATCAATAATTTCTAGTTTTCAAAATTTAAGTCTTGTAACATCTTGTTAAATTCAAGTCTAAGTATTTCTCTTTCTTGAGCAACCGTAAATGTTATGTTATTTTCCAATTTTATTGTGTCCATTGCTACTATATAGAAATAGGATTTTTTTTAGTGTCCATTTTGTATCCCGTAACCTTGTTGAACTCATTTACCAGTTCTAAGAATTTTTTTTTTTGTAAATTCCCTGGGATTTCCTACCTAGACAATCCTGCCATCAAATAAGGACAGTGTAACTCTTTGATTTATGTACTTTTTATTTCCTTTTCTTGACTTATTGCATTGGCTACATCTAGCACAATGTTGAATAGGTGTGGTTAAGAGTAGACATCCTTGCCTTGTTGCCAATCTTAGGGAGAAGGTATTCAGCATTTCTCCATTAAGTATCATGTTAGCTGTAGGCTTTTTTGCAAATGTTCTTTTTTTTCCAAGTTGAGTAAGTCCATCTCTATTCCTATTTTTCTGAGGGAAAAATTATAATGAGTGTTGAATCTGTCAAATGCTTTTTATGCATAGATTGAGATAATTGGGATTTTCTTCTTTAGCCTGTCAATAAGGATTTAATTATTGATTTTTGAATATTGAACTAGATTTGCATCCCTGGAGTAAAGAGTCTGTCAATAAGGATTTAATTATTGATTTTTTAAATATTGAACTAGATCTGCATCCCTGGAGTAAACAGCATTTGGTCATGGTATGATTCTATTACATATCTTGCTGAATTCTCTTTTCTAGTATTTTGCTAAGGATTTTTATGACTACACTCATAAATGATGTAATCCGCAGTATTCTTCTTGTGCACAGTCTCTGCCTAGGTTTGGTATCAGGATAACACCAGCTTCTTAAAATGAATCAGCAAGTGTTTCCTCCTCTTCCATTCCTTCCTCTTCTTGGAAACACTGTGTAGAATTTGTGTTAATTTTAAACATTTGGTAGAATTCGCCAGTGAAAACTCCCTAGACTTTGAGATAGTCTTTTTTGGGAGCTTAATTTTGTATTTGTTAATTTATTAAACATTTTTAATTCCAGTATTATTAACAGTGTTATAGCTTTTGGGGAAGTTTTAAAATTATGAATTCAATGTCTTTAGCAGTCACAGGGCTATTCAAATGATATACTGAGTGCCTTGAGGTAATTTGAGCTTTTTATAGAATTGTTCCTTCTTCAAGCTGTCAAATTTAGATGTGTAGAACTGTTCACAATATCCTCTTATCGTCCCTTTGATATCTGCAGGGTTTGTAATGATATCTGTTTCATTCTTGATATTGTTCGTTTGTGTCTTCTTTCTCTGTTTCTTTGTTACTCTTGCTAGACGTCTGTCAATTTTATTGGTCTTTTCAAAGATCAAGCTTTTGCTTTCATTGATTTTCTCTATTGCTTTTCTGTTTTCAATTTCATTTATTTCTGTTCTTAATCTTTCATTCATTCCCCTTACTTTAGATTTTTTTCTTTTTCTGTGTTTTTGAGGTAAGATCTTACATTTAAGGATTTTTCTATTTATTTTTAGTGTTAACATTTAGTGCTATTAATTTCTCCTCTGCATTCCTTAGGCTGTGTCCCACAGATTTTTATATATTTTCATTTTCATTCAGTTCGATATATATTTCGATTTTCCCTTGAGACTTTCTGACCCATGGATTACTTAGAAATGTGTGATTTTGTTTCTAAGTGTTTAGAGAGTTTTCTGTTATCTTTTGGTTATTGATTTCTAGTTTGATTAAATTGTGGTTGGAAAATACACTGATT